GAAAGGTTCTGATCAATGCTCGATCATTGTCACTAATGATCCCCTGCAGACAAAAGGAAAGAAACTATTTCGTTTTCAGGCTTTTTGGGTAAATGAGGATGGGTGTAGGGAGATTGTCAAGCGAAGCTGAAGTAAGACCGGGGGAAACAGCACGTGTGATAGGTGGCTACGTCATCTAAATTCCTATAAGGGAAACTTATTGAATTAGAGTAGGAGAAGATTCAAGTGAGCAAGGGAGGATATTGGGGTCCATTTAAATTGGTTGGTACTGCTTCAAGAAAATTGGGAATATAAAGTTGATGAGATCAGTGCACTATCTACCTCTATTGATATGTTGGAGGAACAAGATGAGTTGTTCTGGCGTCAACGGTCCAGAATAAAATAGTTGACTAAAGGTGACTCAAACTCCCGCTTCTTTCATCAAACTACTATCTAGAGAATGAGATTTAATAAAATTGAAAAGCTCCAAGACGCCCAAAGGGTATGGAGGGAGGAATCTATTGGGGTAAAAAGGGTGATACTAGAATCACTTTACTGGGCTCTTCAAATCCGGGGGGGGGGGGGAATAGAGATTGGGGATTGATTCTTGACAGTGTCAAAACATCCATTTCGGCATAAATGAATTCCCATCTTACCCGACAAATTAATATAGATGAGATCAATAAGGCAATGTTTCACATGAGTGGCTTAAAAGTGTCGGGCCCGGACGGTTTCCACGGAGTTTTTATACCAATCTTTTTGGGACATAATTGCTAAGGATGTGAATGGGTTGGGAAGGAATTTGCGAAAGGTATGGAAAGTCTAAAAAAATTAAACTCCACGCACATTGTCCTTATCCTGAAGGTTACAAACCCGACCACGGTGGGCCAATATCGTTCGATTAGTCTATGTAACTATTCATATAAATATTCTCCAAGTTGTTAGCCAACATGTTAAAGCCTTGGTTGTTTCAGATAATCTCTCCAACTCAAAATGCTTTTGTTGAGGGGCGTCAGATTCAGGATAACATATTGGTTGTGTATGAGATTTTTCACCTCCTCAAACTCAGGAAGGTTAAAACTCGCTTTGAGCTGGCAATGAAAATCGACATAAACAAGGCTTACGATAGGATTGAGTGGGATTTTTTAGAGGCAGTTATGGTTCGAATGGGCTTTCACCTGTGGTGGATAAAAGGTTGTGATGGGATGCGTCACTACAGTGGATTTTTTTGTTCTTATCAATGGACAACCTGGGAAGCGGTTTAAACCCTCCCACAAACTCTTCCCGTATCTTTTCCTCATTGTGACGGACGTTCTCTCGAGACTCATCTAAGGTACAGTTGATGAGGGATTTTTGGAAAGAATTAGGTTGAGTATGAACAGGCTTACTCTCTCTCATTTGTTGTTTACCGACGATACACTAATCTTCCTTTAGGCTACTCAACTTAATTGCTAGAACATTACCCACATCTTGAATGCCTTCTGCACGGCTTCGAGACAAGAGATCAGCATGCAAAAATCCTCCATCTATTTCAGGGCCAATACTCCATCGGGGCTCCGGAACAAGTTGTCTTATATTCTTGGTATGCTACAAGTTGTTGACCTGGGAGTTATCTGGGTATCCCAACTGTGTAGGGGAGATCTAAACGAATGCCCTGACTTTTATGAAGGATAGAGTTATGGCGAAGATTCAAGGATGGAATCAATGATTCATTTCCCAGGTCGAAATGGAGGTACTAATCAAGGCAGTAGCTCAGGCAATACCGGCCTATCCCATGAACATCATCTGTTTTCCCGACAACATATGTAATGACATTGATGCGGAGGTTGCTAAATTTTGGTGGGGTCAGAGAACGAGGGAAAGAAAGATACATTGGGTGAACCAAGAAACATTGGGGTTACCAAAGCAGGAAGGGAGCATGGTTTTCGTAATCTTAAAGAATTCAACTTAGCACTGTTGGCCATACAAGGTTGGCGCCTTATACATTCCCTCGACTCTCTCTAGGCTCAGGCCATCAAACATCGATATTTTCCCGATTACTCTTTCCTTAAGGCTAAGAAGGGGGGACGGTTTTCTTGGACCTGAGCGAGTCTTCTAGCAGGCAGAGATTTTATTATTAAAGGGGCTCATTGCCAGATTATGAGTGGTGATCAGACAGGGGTGTGGGTGGATTACTGGATCCTAAGCCTTGCAAATGGACATCATGTCCCAACCTCGGGGGTCGTAGTTGATCCGAATCAAAGGGTCTATTCTCTTATTGACCCGGTAACCAAATAGTGGAATGAGCAGGTAATTGGCAAGGGTGTTCAGGAAGATCGATAGGCAATCGTTGACATTCTTCCTGGGGCGATGGATTGTAAGGACAGGTTGGTTTGGCATTCCGACAGAAGAGGACGTTTCACTGTTAAGTCAAGATATCACTTGGTCCATGCTACTAATCACCGAACATGGGTCTTCCGCCCTGTTTCTTTGACCTCAATTCAATCATGGGTGTGGAAGTGTATATTGACACTTAAGGTCCTTCCTAAAATAAATTTTTTTATGTGGTGGGCACTTAAGGGGGCTACAGTTACTAAACAGAATATATTTTGTAAAATGTGTGCACCTTCTCCTATGTGTCCCTTTTGCTTTGAACATGAGGAATCGATCAAGCATGCTTTACTATTGTGCCCATGGGTGGACCGGGTTTGGTTTAGAGGTTAGTTGGGGTTGAGAATTGAAAAGTCTGAGATTACTTCCCTCCATACTTGGTTGGAGGACGTGTGGAGAGGGCTTATTGGTTCGGTGGTGGAAATGAGGAAATCCTTGTCGTACATTGCCTTCTCTTGTTGGTCAATTTGGAAATCTAGATGTGATGGAGCTTTTAATTGCAGATTCCCTTCCCCGTCTAGGACATTACTGGCCATCATTTCAACTATTGCCCATTTTTTAGAGGTGCACTCGAAGGTGCAATCATGACGGAACCTAGCGGGGGACACATTCTCAAGGCTGGGATCCTCCACCGCACGGGTTATCAAGGTTAATGTTGATGCGACATGGAAACGGGTTAAAGAACACTGCCATGTCGGAGTGGTAATTCGGGATTCTTCCTCCTGCTGCTTGGCAGTATGAAGAAGGAGGGTGCGTGCTTCCAATGTTCTAATGGCGGAGGCGCGGGGGGTGTTTGAGGGATGTATCATGGCTCGGCAACAGGGTTTCTCCCGCATTATTGTTGAGTTGGACTTGAAGGAAATTATTTATTGGCTAAATAGGTGTATTGATTAGGGGGCTTGGGAAGTCTTTCCGACTCTTTGGGAGATTCGAAATGAGGGCGAGGCTTTCAGTTCGTGTGACTGGTCTTGGGTATTTAGATCTAGGGGTGGGTTCAAAAAATAGAAAATCGAAAAATGAAAACCAAACTGAACCGAAATCGAAAAAACCGAACCGAATGAAAAAACCAAACTGAATTGAAAAAACTGAACCAAACCGAATTCTTTTGGTTTGGTTTCGGTTTCAGTGGTCTAGAAACCAAACCAAACCAAACCAAACCGAATTAATTAAATTATTTTTTTTATTTTATTTATTCAATTATCTGTTTTGAATATTATTTTTTAAACCCAATTTGTAAGCCCAAATGTGCTAAGTTCAATGTGTTCCCAAACTTTAAGCCCAAAATATTTTAAAAAAAAACCTTTAGAAACTCTAAATCCTAACCTTGTTTTATATATTTCTTTTATAGTTCCTTACATCTGTCTCTGTATACTTTGATTACTTTCCTAAAATGCTCAGTTTCATTCGAAGGTATAGCATATACAGAACTATGTTATCCTATTTTATATAATCAATGGAAATATTAGATTCTTGGCTTGTTTGCTGACTAGAGGCTAGAGCTATAAATTAAGAGTACTTGCACTCATTTGAAACTCATTCCTTTCTTAAAAAAAAATAAGTGAAGCAGATAAGAAGGGTAGAGTAAAGACTAAAATATATGAATTCCCAAGAAGTACCGGAAAGAAGAGAAATTGAAACCAAGGAATACTGTTAAAACATTTAGTAATTACTCTCTTGATCTAAAATTCTCATCAGTTTTTCTTACCCTGACACAAACTAACAAACTTTCTTTGCCTGATTTATTACATCTCAACACTGAGTGAAACCCCAAAGAAAAAGAGTAAGCCAGTTTGCAACTTTTGTTCGATTTTTGTGTTGCGGGGTTGTTAATTTGGACTTTGGAAGACTTGATTGATGATTCTAGTTGAACTTTAAATGTTTATTTTCATTGTCTTTGATTCTAGTTGGAATGCTTATGTTATGATTGTGTTGGAGATGTTAAAATTTCAAATTACAATTATTTTCATTTTTTGAAAAAAAAAAAAAAAACCTAAACCAAACCGGAAAAAACTGAACCGAAAAAAAATGAACCGAACTGAAAATTCGGTTTGGTTTCGGTTTTGGCAAAAAACCGAACCGATTTGAACTGAACCCACCCCTACCTAGATCAGCCAATGGAGTGGCAGATTTTGTGGCGTCGCATACTGGTGCGAAGATGTGCGACTTTGTCTGGGTCCGAAGACCCCATCTTCGTTTGTTCGGGTCTTAAACAAGGATGGTCTTCCCTGCCCCCCAAACTAGAATTATTTTGTAGATGTATGGGTGACATGGTGTTTGTTACATGTCGTTATTTTCCCTGTATTTCGACTTTATGGTCAAATGGTGTTAGCCGTAGCTTGGCTTTCTATCCTCCTTTTGGATGCGGCCCTGGTTATGAATCTATCCAGTTCTTCATAAAAATAAAAATAAAAAAAGATTCGAACCGAATATTTCTTTGCTTCCTAGCGAAGAAAAATAATGGTGAATCTAGCGATCATAATAACAGAAAGGAATCCTAATTTACCAATTTACGAAATTCGTGCTATTAAAATTTGATCAAATAACTACAAATATAGGGCTACTTTAAAAATTATAATAACTTCAGGCATTAAATCAAATTTCGATAGTACAAATTTTCTGATAGGATGAATCAGGAAGAAAGGATTCGGAGGATGGCTTTCCCAAAATAACAATCATAAGCAGTGACCCAACTCGTTCGAGCGCTTTTTTCTCAACCCCTGCAAAGTGAAGAAAAAATGGTGTGAGCCTCCGTCAACTCCTCGTCTTTCTCCCCCTGAATCCGCTTTTACCATGACTGAGTTGCAGTTACAGAGTGTGTCTGGCTCCGAGTTGGAGTTACCGGAATCGTCCAGGGGAAGGTACGTCTCTCGATCAAACTCTCTGATTCTCTTGTTTCAACTTTAAAGCTTAGACCTGTAAACTTATGGGTTTTCTTGTATTTACACCCAGCACAAAGAAAAAGCATAAAAACAATCAGGAGGTGCTTTTGTGCTGGAGTTTTCCCCGCCATGGCTGGTACAAGCTCAACGTCGACGGAAGTTACCGCTCGGGGTGCATAGCAGGCGGCGGCGTGATCAGAAATCAAGACGGAGAATGGCTGAGTGGGTTTGCTGAAAATCTGGGAACGGGCAAGAAACCCATTGAGGCTGAGGTCTGGGCATTGTACAGAGGCCTGGAGCTTGCCTGGAATTATGGGTGGTACCCAATTGAGGTGGAAACTGACTCAGCCATGGCGGTGACGCTTGTGTTCAGCCCGGTTCAGTTGTACCCGAAACACCCTCAGTTTAATTTGATTCATAAGTCGCTGAATCAGATTAGGAATAGCGAAAATCTGATTAGGAATTGCCTGAATCTGCTTAACCAAATCCAAAACTACTCCCTGCAGCATGTGTACCGGCAAAAAAACAGCGTGGCTGATTTTTTGGCCAATTTTGGGCTGACATTGGGGTTGGGTTGCCATTATTTCGATGCACCGCCGCCTGGCTGCGAGGCGGTTCTGGTCCAGGATATCTGTAGGGTGGCTAAGCCCAGGTCTCTTCTTCCCACAGTTATAGAATTCAGGTTTGTTGTGGGTTGCATACTTACGTTTTTAGTTTCTGTTGTGTGGTATTTGGTGTTACGGTGACATGTTATTGTTGCTTTGAGTTTGTAGAGGAGTAAAGAAATTGGAGGCACTGGATATTCACAAGGATGATGCTGCATCTGTGACATTCACGTGGAAAATTGACAACTTCTCTCAGTTAAATGCCGTCAAGCATTACTCTGGTGTCTTCGTCATTGGTTGTTTTGAATGGTATTTTATTGTCTCGTACCATCCACAAGCTTAAAATTTTTCTTTTTGCATTGTTATATATATGGTTTTCCACTAGACTTGGTTGGTTCTATCAGGCGAATCCTTATGTATCCGAGGGGGAAGAAAAGCGCAGGCTCCTTGTCGGTTTATCTGGATGTTACTGGTTCTTCAACATTGCCAAAAGGGTGGGCTAGATATGCGCAATTCAGCTTGAGTGTCGTCAATCAACTTCAAAGCAGCAAGTCAATAACAAAGGGTACTTTGTTGTTATGTTACTGTTTCTTATTTCACATTCATCCTTGTTTTTGTCTCTTGCCATGTTAGTTTATAATTTTTAGGGTAAAGCTAATTTATCGAAGGCAACTAGTGGTTGCTGTATCCTGTCCTTTTTTATTTAGTCTCACACTTACTATCAATGCCGACTGCCTTGTCAACATTTTATTGAATTTTACTATACGAGATACTCTGAAAGTAGATAAACAAAAGGTAATAATGCAAATTCATATCTCTGGTTCAAAAGATTAGTTAGGTTTAGAACAGAAGTGGAATGCTAACAATACTTTCCACTATAAGGAGATCTCCTTTGAAGAAAATCAGTAACTTGAGGAATATCTAATTCTTCAATATTATTTTTTCTTTATTTCGCGTCGCCTTTTAAGAAACATTCAAATGGTAATTTCTCTGGGTCCTGAAGACAATTGAGCTCAGGTTCTCTTTCTTTATTCTCCCTTCATTTCCTCTAAAATTCCGAGCACCATTAATTATTACCGCTAGGTTGCTTATTATTCTATGTTGTCTACTAAATGTGAAACTGCAGTGTCTTATCACGGCTTGGCTAGTTGGGTTTCCAGTATTAATCTGGAGTCTGAAAATTATTTCTTGTAACCACCTATAACAACGGAAGCTTGTTTCCTTTTAACTGTCAAAAATTAAACCAAATTCCTATGTCTGCATGTCTGGGTGGTTGGTTTAGACCTTTAGAAAATGAAAGGGGCATGCATGAGCCACAATTGTTTAATTAACATGGTGTAACTGAAGGTTGATATGCTGGATATCTTTCTTCTGCCAAAGATGGGATCTTGTTTTTATGGCAGTATATTGGGGATGCTAACTGTTTGCCAGTGCATTTGACATTGCAAAACATACCTTATCTGCAGTACGGTTGATAGTTTACCTGCTATTAATTAGTATATTAGATCACCTGAGCGCAATAATACAACTTTTCATGTCTAAAAAGGTGATTACCGTTGAAAGCATAACTTTTCAAATTTTACTTTTAAGTTATGGCAATTGAGTACCATCTATTTAGTAAATACTCCCGTGATAAAACCATTTAGTTTAAGGTAGGGATAGTTAGGTTTTCATCCTTGGAGAATATGGTTTTTTCATCGAAATCAAGTTTTACAATGAGTTTTGACTTTGGTCCTTTGTTTAGGTACATTACTATGTATTACTAAATCATTATTGAATCTAACACCCGAATTTGGGTAATCTGGCCTCATATGTTAGCTAAAGGTGAGGTGAGCAATTCTGGTGTGTACTTGGGTTTGCTATGCGCAACGTTCTTCTTATGGGCAGTCTGTGTGTTTGTTAACCAGTTGCAATAAGTAGCTAAAATAGATGGTTAATTTCTGGACCTTCAAATCTCTTTCTTTGGTAGGGATTGAAACGATTGAAAGTGGATTGTTTTGATCTTGAGTCTTACGTTTGCAGACTCTGGAAGTCTTGTATTCTTGGATCTAATGCTCTAGCACTAACTGTTTGTTTCCATTACTTATTTTAAGTACTCTGCGTAATGAGCTACTCCTTATTTTTTATTTCTATATTAGAAATTGTTATGCTTCTATTGTGATCATGAATATTTGGACTTTGCAGATACTGGACATGTGTTCACTAAGATGGAAAGCGAATGGGGCTTCGCCTCTTTAATTCCTCTAAGCGAGTTTTACAACGACCGTGAAGGATATCTTGTGAATGACATATGCATCATTGAGGCAAAGCTTGCAGTCCATAAGTCTGAAATTAAGCTTTTCGGAGCCGTCAGATAAAACCATAAAGAAGCAGCAGATTAGGCCACAAGTTCTGAAGAGTTGCCTACCACAGGATGCACCAAGTTCCGGGCAGGTTTGCACCGAGCCTGCTAACCCTCCCTTAGTCAAGGTACTCATGATGTGCCGTCCCACTAACCGGTGAGCTAGGTTACGGTAGGGGTTTAACCTTATTTTAGGATTATTGACGTGCTCGTCAAGCTTGTCTATGTAGTATTTTCAAAGTTGTATTATAAACTTGGAGTTTGCAAGAAAAAACTACAAAATTAGGTCATTGTAACCTTTTATGTTATGTTTCCATGGAAGAAATACATTTCCAAACTTTATCAAGTGTGGGCGTTAAGCTTGGCCGCACAATTGCATAGCAGTGATTTCATATTGAACTTGTATTCATCGAAGTTAAACATAACACCTCACATCACATTTACAAGTTGAGAGCAATATGATTGCAACAAATTATTCGGGCCCGAAAATATCAGTGCCGACTCTACTTGCACCCCAACCTTCACAGCCATTGTGAAAACTTGTTTATTTATACTTTTTCGTTGCGCAAGTGCAATTGTTGCTCACAAATTTTTCCATCATTTCATCCTATCATATAGCCATTAGTACTATGGTCCTATCATATAATCTACTGATAAAATTTAGAGTAAATTGTAGCAGTGGTCCTTTAACTTTAACTTAATTGAAGCAATGGTCTCTCAACTAAAAATTCATTACCATTGGTCTATCAACTCATCAAAACGTGCAGTTATGGTCCATCAACTAAAAATCCATTACCATTGATCCCTCAACTAAAAATCCATTACCATTGGTCCCTCAACTTTAACCCAATTGGAGAAATGGTCCCTTAACTTTAACCCAATTGGAGCAATGGTCCCTCAACTTTAACCCAATTGTAGCAATGGTCATTCCAACATAACTTTTTTTGAAAAAATTCTAACGAAGTTGACAAAAATGATCATAGCTACACATTTTGATGAGTTGAGAGACCAATGGTAATGAATTTTTAGTTGAATGATCATTGCTCCAATTTGATTAAGGTCTGATTTGGTATTGAGGTGATTATGAAAAAAGTTGGTATAAAAAAACGCTGGGAGCTGTTTTTGTGTTTGGTAAACATTCAGCTTCAGTTTTTTTTCACAGTTTTGGGTGAAAAAAGTCAAAAATAAGAAGTTGCAAAACCTAGCTTTGAAAAACCGGTTTTTTTTCACATCTGTTTTACATAAAAGTTTACCAAACACTATAATCCTGCCTTTTTTTTCAAAAGCACATTTACAAAAAAGTTTACCGAACACTCTGCTGTTTTATTTCGTAGTTGCTTATTCTTACATCATAGCAGAAACAGTTTTTTTTCAAACCACAACAATACCAAACCAGCCCTAAAATTAAGGGACCATTACTACAATTTACTCTTAAGCATTTACTCTTGTGTGTCTCATCTTCAAGTGGTGGTAATAATCATTATTTTATTTATCACTGGTGAATGAATTTAAAAATTGAATGGTAATAATTTGTGATAAATGAGTTCAAATATCGAAATTTAAACTATACAGAATGGTGATAAATGCAAAACTATTCCCATATAAAAAAGGCGGACAGGTGCAGTAGTAATTGCAATCGTCACTGCCTCACTCAGTCACTTTCACTGTTGGTCAGCAGCTGAGGGTTTGCCTTCCATTCCATTTCCAGGTCTGAGCTGAGCTTTGTCAGAGATTCATAGTCCATCTTTTGCTTCCATGGAAACGTAAATCTCTCCTCTCCAGTCTCCACCGATGATGCTTTTAACTGTTTGCTTTCTCATGGTTAAGGGTGTGAATTGAAATGGTAGATCGAAGGGTCAGAAGAAGGTGAAGGACGATCTTGTATCCGTCGACTTCTCCTGGGAAGTTCAAAACTTTTCCAAGTTGAATAACTTCAAGCATTACTCTGACGTTTTCGCAATCGACGATTATAAATGGTATTATTTTCTCACTTTTCATTGCTATTAACATGGTCTGCTTTAAATCCTTAGTCCAGTTTGATGCCTTGGATTTGAGGCCTTGTTTGGTATGTGGGATTTGAGCGGATTGGATAACTAACTAGATTATGTGTGTTGGACGAAGCAATGGATGTCAACTTCTAAATTTTATCCAAGTTGAATCGAAAAGATAGGTTAGTGATGAAGCAAACTTTTTCCTTACGATCCCCGTAGACGTGGTAGGATTTGGAGGGACTAATCGATCTTCTACCTTCAACTTGGACAAATTGAAAGTTGGAATCCTTTTCGTCATTCAACTAACATTGAGTCTAGTTAGTTAGTTATCCAATCCTAGACTCCGAATCAGGCCTGATTGGATTCGATAAGTTACTATATTCATTGTATGTTGGAGAAAGAAATGAAGGCCAACTTCTAAATTTTGTCTGACTTGAAGGTAAAAGATGGAAGGGATTGCAAGGGATAAGTTTCCTACTAATCCATTCAATTGCGTCAACCTGTACAAAATTTAGGAGGCGGCTTTCATTTCTTACTTTGACATCCCTTAATCTAGCGAGTTATCCAATCCAATCCAATCCTAAGCACCAAACACAGCCTTATAATTTGAGTTTGTTATATGTTATGGCTTTGAAATTTGGACTTTGGATTGTTGGGTTTGGTCAGGCAAATCCTTTTGTATCCAAGGGGAAACAATGTAGACTTCCTATCGGTGTATTTGGTTGTTGTGGAGTCTTCAAAACTGCCACCAGGATGGTCTAGATATGCTGCTTTCAGCTTGACTTTGGTCAATCAACTTCATCCCAGCAACTCAAAAACATTGGGTACTTTTGTTTTTCTGTTCATGTTGTTCAGTTCACATTTGTTTTCGTTTGTTTTCTTGTTATCCTATCTATGGCATGAAGCTAGTGATTGTTGCATCATTATAGGCACATTTTGTTGTGATTCGCATTCATTTATGCGCTTTTTGCAAATCCATGCCTGACCACTTTCTCTGTACTTCTTTGAATTTTTACAATACAAGATACGAGCAAAGACAACACTGACTAGACAGGAAGTAGAATGGTAGCAGTAAGCCGGTACTTATTTCCATTTCTCTTTGTTCTGAACCATTTTATTTCTTTCTATCTATCTATGTTCCTGAGTTGGAGTATTGTTAAATGTTTCGACCTTGAATCTGAACTTTCCGCTTACTGCTAATGTAGTTATTTATATTAACCACTTACTAGAGCCTAATTGAGCGTATGTTATTTATTGTGGGCACAGTTGATCTATGAAAACTGAGTTCATATCAAAACTTAATATAAAGATTCGCAATGGGCTTCCTTTGTGAATATTTATTTATTATGTAGTACTGAACTGTGTTTATTATTAATATTTTTTAATTTCTTTTAATTTTTATCTTTGATGTTTTGATTTTGCAGACACTGAGCATGTGTTCGATAAAAGGGGAAGTGACTGGGGCTTCACATCGTTAATTCCTCTAAGTGAGTTTTGTGACAGTGGTAAAGGGTATCTTGTGAATGATATGTGTATCATTAGGGCCAAAGTTGCTGTCTCGAAGGCTGAAATTAATATATTAGAACACAATGCAAGTAGTTCTGCACCTATTAAGCACTTAAACAAAAAACGTAGAGTGCTGGATTACGTGCTGGCCATCAACGACCTTACTTATGCTCCTCCTGGCCCTCCCATAGTCAAGGAACCTGAGGACATGTCTTCCCCACCAGCTGCAGAGCTCGAGGATTTTAGGGGTTTAGGGAAAATAGAGAAAGCTTTCGTTCCTCTGCTAGATGAGGTTTGTTCGTGGCATCCTTCGCTGACTGAATGTCAACGCAAGAGAAGTCGCATGTTTACTGAGTGGGCGTTCACAGCTTTGGGCCGGCTATTGCATTTTATGAAGACGAAAAAGGTCAAGGACATGACAGATGATGCATGTGAGCAACTGAAACTTTTGTGGGAGGAGCTTGAGGCCTTCAAATTTGACTTGGCTTGGCTGGCGCCTGGTGTTCAAAGGGCTTTGGACATGAACAAGATTGTGGAAAGTGCAGGGAAGTTGAAAAGGTTGAGAAAGGACGTGGACTAGCTGTTGCGGAGGCAAATCTTGAGGCAGCAGTAAGAGATTTAAACAAGACTGAAGAAGGCCTGGACGAGATAGACATCAACGGTGAGCTAGTTTACGGTAGGGGTTAGCCTTATTTGAGGATTCTTTTTTGACGTGCTCCTCAAGTTTGTTAATGTAGGATTTTCAAGTTGTATGAATAAACAAATAAACTTGGAAGTTGTATGCATGAAGGCTGGCTTCTCTTCTCACTCTCTAAAAGTGCTTTCAGTCATTTAAAAAGCACAATCAAACGAGTATGTTGGAAGGATGAGGGGTTTAGTGTTTAAGCTCCTTTTCTTTTTCCTTATGATTATCTTTTTATTCAATTTAATCCATTAGAAGGATGTGAAGGTGATTTTATCCTTCTTTGATTTGGATGTCCCGGCGTGCTACCACATGTTCTAGATTGGCCAACTGAGGGCTGATTTAGTATTGTTGTGCTTTGAAAAAAAGCTACTTATGTTGTGCTATGAGAATAAGCACCTGTGAAATAAAGCAGTAGAGTGTTTGGTAAACTTTTTTGTAAAAATGCTTTTGAAAAAAGAAAGCAGTATTATAGTGTTTGGTAAACTTTTATAAAACAAATGTGAAAAAAAAAGCCGGTTTTTCAAAGCTGGGTTTTGCAGCTTCTTGTTTTTTGTTTTTTTTTTTACCCAAAACTATGAAAAAAAAGCTGAAGATGAATGTTTACCAAACACAAAAACAGCTCCCAGCTTATTTTGATATCAGCTTTTTTCATAATCATCTCAGTACCAAACGAGACATGAGCAAGGAACCTTCCCTCGGCCTTGGTTCTTTCTCTATCTTGGGGCAAGGCTTTCAATAAACAACCAACGGACATGAAGTTAGTGGAAGTGAAGATTATATGAGAAAGTGAAAGAAATCGTAAAAAAAATATATATAAAATTAAGTTAATTGCAAAAAGGTAAACTAAATTAAGAACAAGTGCAAAGAGACACATTTGCTTGAATGTAAATGAAATAGAAATACAAGTGTGGAAAGTAAATTGCATGAGAATAATATAGACTAGGGTATTATGCTGCTCCTATCATAAGAATTGAAGAGAATATACGATGACAATTTGTGTATTTGTTCGAGGATCCTTTTCCCTTCTTCAAAACTTGTATTTATAGGGCACGGATGAGTCCAATCATGGATATTCATTAATTGGCATGTGATTATGACAATCAGGGAATTCGATCTGCTCCTCCGGATCTTAGTGTTCGGAGCTTAAGAATCAAATCATCTAGACCACTGATTGGTGTGTAAAGGAAATTAGAGCCGTTGGTTGTGTGGTGGGCAAAAAAAAAAAAGTTAATAGGAACCATTGTATTCAACTTGTGCGGCCCAAATAAATTGATCCCTATGCTCCGGACACTAAGGTCCAGAGCTGATCCAATTCCGATAATTAATGGTAATCTTCCTCAATTGGTGATAGTTGACATTGACAAGCCTAGATTGAGTTCATCATCTTAAATTAAGAAGTGGGGTGCTAATTTAGATTGGGCCTCTTAGAACCATTATGTAGAGGCTTGTTTTATTTAATAGGAATACACCAGTCATACTATAAAACGGTCTTTTTGTGTTTCTTTTACGTTTGGGTTAGAAAGTTTTAAGAGGTCTCTAATTTCTTAGGGTCATGTGCGAACGCCTACCCTGTACACCCTATTGGCTAGAACTGATTTTAATTCTGAGAAATATGATTTAAATCACTTAAATCGTCAGCAGTGGCGAAGCCACATAGGGCCTAGCATTGAGTAAGCTTATTCTGGAATTTCAGCCATTTCCATGTACATAATTTCTGCCAAAACTTGTAGAAATCTGCATGTGGCTCATTGGTTAGTGGGTTTTTGCAATTCCAAGTGCCCACGGTTCGAGACTTGTTGGTATGTCAACATTTTTCAGATTTTTTTTAAGCTGAAATAATAAAATTACCCTTATAATTTGCTTTATTTTTTGACCATATTAAAACTAGGGTGAACTGTCGATTGATATAAAACAAAGGCTTATACAATCTAGAGCATGATCTTATTTTAAGTAACAACCTTAATTTTTTGTTCGAATTTATTGTGTTAATCTTTTTTAATCAAAACTTGTTACAAGTTTTGATTTATTATATAATCATTTCAATACTAGGTTTTTCATACAAAATTTAAAGCTCCACCATTCTTATTCGATTAAAATTTTCCATGCCAATACAAAAAATAAAACTTTAAATTTTTCTCTCATTAATTGTATTGCAATCCTTCGTATGGCTTAAAGGCCTCTCTTAATCTAGTTTTCTGACTCCGCCACTGATCATGAGTATATTTAATTATTATGATAAAATATGATATTTCTTTAACTTTTGAGTTAGATTGCTAGATTAAAGATTATAATTAATTAGACCAGAGATTCGAGCACAAACATTTTTTTTTTTGAAAGGCAACGATAGATTTCATTCAAAAGAATAAGGTTTGAGATTACATTACAAGCACATAAGGGCAGGAGCACCCCATACAACTCACAACTCAGCCTTATCAATGACTTACAAAATGATCAGCCAAAAGGTCTGGAGGTTCCTTAAACCAAGACTGAGATATTGAATCTTGTAGAGCAAATTTTGTGAGGCGATTGGCTAAATCATTAGCCTGACGACAAACATGGGCAATAATAACTCCAGTGATCCTTGACATGAAAGCTTTGGCATCCTCAATGACAGGTCCAATAAATGATGTGATCGAATATTACCCCTGCAAAGCAGTTGTATCTGGAGCGAATCGCACTCTAAAATAGAATTAGAAAAACCCTTTTCAACTATCGTCGCCAAACCCTCACGAGCTGCTAAAGCCTCTGCATGAGCTGGAGAGAAAACATTCTCAAACCGAGCGACTCTAGCAGCCACAAAGAGGCACAAAGCATCCTTCGCGATAACACCAACCCCGCCCTTCTTCTCACTCTGAATCCAAGAACCATCCACATTAATTTTAAAATGGCATGCCAGAGGAGCAACCCATCGAGCCCCTTATGGAGAAAAAATAGTAGCATTAGAAACAGAGGACTGAGCCCCAAGGAAATCAGACAGCCAACCCAGGGATTTCGCCATAATTAATGCAGGGCCTTCGACGTTCCCATTCCATAGTTTGCAATTTCTAGCCCCCCAGATTGCCCACCAAATTATAAGGCATAAACCAAAGTCTGCTTGCTTCAGCGATGAGGCCAACAGAAGGGCCCAGTCATCAATGGTCTCAATATTACGACCTTTAGGAGGATGTCCCAAGGGGGAAACAATCCAAACACAAGCATCGAACGAGCAATCTCTGAAAATGTGAATAGTAGATACCCCCGAAGCACCGCACAACAAACAATTGTCCTCCACCCTTAAACATCTCCGGATCAAATTACCACGTGTAGGTATAATATTTCGACACACCTTCCATGCCCAGACTTACTTTTGGGGGGACAGAAGCAACCCAAATACAAGTTTGTAGTTTGTTTAATGGGTTGGGTCCAGAGGATGAAGCGAGGCTTCTACGTCACTAACCCAAGCAAAGGCCACATGATAATAGCTCTTGACCAAGAAGATGCCATTCCTATCAAAATACCAAACTAAACGATCCCTTGGCTTTCGAAAGCTCAGCGACAAAGAACAGATAAGATCAATTTTCGATATGGAGAAGATGGATCTGAGTAGAGGAATGTTCCACAGATGAGCATTATCCTCAATTAGCTCACTAACCAAAGACAAATCACAATATGCAGGCTTGGGAGAGAAAATCTGAAAGGAGGATTGTTGGGGGGATCCAACGATCCTCCCAAATGCGAATATCGTCTCTAGACCCCACCTACCATCTTGAACCCCTTATCAAGACCTCCTGAGTCGAACAAATGCTCTTTCAGTTGTAAGAGGCCCCTGCCTTTACATTAGCATCCAAAAACGTAGAAGTTGGGAAATACTTAGCTTTTAGGATTAAAGCAACCAAAGAGTTAGGCTTCTACAGAAATTGCCACCCTTGCCTTGCCAAAAGGACCAAATTGAAAGCATGCATATTCCTAAAGCCCAACCTGTCATCGCACGTAGGAAGACAAAGGCAATCCCAACTAAGCCAATGGATCTTCTTTCCCTTATCAGACCTTCCTCCCCCACCAAAACCTAGCCACCAAATGGTTAAGGTCATTTGTAGAAATACCTGGGTAGAAGGAAATAGTTTATGACGTACAACGGGATAGCTTGGGTAACAACTTTGACAAGGAGCTCTCGGCCCGCCACACTAAGAAGCCTCCCTTTCTAACTTTAAAGTCTTTTCCAAAGCAGCTCCTTAATATAAGCGAAGCACTCACCTCTGTTCCTATCAACATGAGTGGGCATGCCAAGATACTTCTTGTTCGATCAACACGAGTCACCACTATCCGCAAAGCCAACTCTTCTTGAAGATTGCGTTTCACATTTTTGCCAAAACACACTGAACTTTTTAAAAGGTTAACAACCTGGCCCAAAGCCATTTCATACTCGTGCAAGATTGACAAAATCATATCACAATCCTTCGAAGATGCCCTTATAAAGAGTAAGTAATTGTCAGCAAATAAAAGATGGGTAACAAGGGGCACCACCCTAGATTGATACTCCCTTGAGCCTATATCGAGTATGTGATGGAGTTAACAAAACACATACTAAGATCGATTCATTGTCGTGGAAAGCCAAATTTGACCAACACGACCTCCATATAACCCCACTCAATTCGGCTGTAAGCTTTACTAACGTCAAGCGTGAGCGATAGGAAGCCCTTTTTTGCCCTTCTCCGATGACTAAGACAATTTGCCACCTCATTAGCAACAATAATATTATCAGAGGTTGATCCGGGACGAAAACGCTCTAGTACTGAGATATCAGGTTAGGCATGATGAGTTGCAGCCAGTTCATAAGCACCTTCATAACGATCTTGTACAGGACATTAGACAAGCTAATAGGCCGCATATGACCCATTTCCTTAGGCTTGTTGACCTTCGGGATCAGTGTAACGTGGGTGAAGTTAATCTTCTTCAGAATTTTGGAACTTGCTAGTGTAGAATCGAACATTATGGAACTTGCTTAACTTTAGGGTTCGTTTGGAAGTGTTTTGAAAATAGTAGAAATTTTGAAACCATTTTTAGTGAAAATAATTTTGGAACCAATTCGTAGTAAAAATGTAAGTGAATCGAGAAAAAACACTTGAAGTGCTTCTTGCAGGAAGTAGGCGCTTTTACAATATAGAAATATTTTCTTTAAAGACCCTTTTAATCATTTTAAAAACATTTCCAATTGACCATAATCTTTGAAAATGAAGGTACACCGAGCAATGCATGTGGCTCTAAACGATGTCGTGTCACCATTTACGATCAGTCATCTACAAATATCGGGTGCGCCAGCCGAAAAGCTTCTGGAGTCTTCTAAACCCTCAAGAACCCAATTGGCGCTCTGACGGAAACACCCTCCAAAAAACGGCTAATATATTCCCATCCAAAAGGGTACTTTCGTCAACCAAAAAATCCCACCGGTGTCTGTCTGTTTTCCTTTCTCTCCAAGCACAACAGATTCTCTCACTTCCCTTCACAAACCCCTCCCCATAAGAGGCCACACCGCACCGCAGTCTCTCTCTCGCTCTAGATTTCCAAATTTTGGTTCCCATTTTGCCCCTCGAATTCTCCAGCCATGTTCGTCTCTAGGGTTTTAGCTCGGGCCTCGAGGACCCTCCCCAGGGGCACAATGCTCTTGGCGGCTCCGCAGAATCATCACTTGCCAATCCTGTCCAATCAGTCCCAAGCTTTGATCCACGATTTTTCCTCTAAGGTGCCACAAATTCCCTCTTTTTTCTTCAATTTTTTGTCACTAGGGTTTTGCTAGGGTTTTAGGTTTTCTGCAAATTTCACCAATTTAATCTGCTTTTTTGGATCCAATTCCCGTTCTCTTATTATCTAGCGCTAGGGTTTTGCTAGGGTTTTATGTAAATCATTGTTCTTACTTTTTTTCTCTGTTTGATTATTGGATTCTAATTTTATTTTTGTATTTAGTGAATATTGGGTTCTGATATATAATTTCATATTTTTATATATGAGAAATTAATATAGCGTATTTTTGCTAGTGGATTTGAAATATTGATGAATTCATTTGTTCTGTAGGCACAAGATAATATATTTTTAACAACATATTTTTACTTCAAGTGATATATAAAATATCATATGTATGCATGTCTGTATGATCTATGAAGCATGGATACGAATACGGATATGGTGATACGTAAAATCTCTAAAAACTAGGATACAATACGTCATGGATATGGCAATAAAAATATATAATTTAAAACATATTCTAACATGTAAACATCTAAATTCAAGTTAATTCAAGTGTGAGAGTTATATCACTTGTTTCAATTAGAGGCAAGCTCTTTGTATTCATCAACTTTCAACTAAATCTTTGTTTCCTATTAACTTTCTCCTCGTAATTTCTCATCTGAAAGTGTAATGGTATCCTAGAAGCCAAATACTGGTATGCTACCTGACAAATATTGTATACGCGACCAAACTAAGGTATCTGTGCTTCATAGCATATGATATGGTTATCTGAACATAATTTTGTATCACTTTAATTTCTATGCTTAATTTGAATTTTGTTATGCTCCCTGACTTTCTGCTGGGCCGCTGAGTATGAGGTTTTATTTCGATTGAGGGTTGAAACGTATAACTTTGTAGCCTGTTGGACAAGTTTAAAACTTCATGGTTACTAAAGGTGTTTTTTTTTTTCATTTATTTTCGAATAGCAGATTGTTCCGAGGCAGGTGTCCCTATTACATCATTCAACCCCAACTTCTTCTATCTCTCAAATATTTGGGTTCTCTTCGTCTGCATCGCCACATCCTGAAAAGGATCATGGAAGTGCTGTAGAGAATGGCAGCGCTTCTACAAATGGAGAGCCAGAAAAAGCAAGTGGAGACGCGAAAGTTGCTGATCAAGCAAAAGAGTCAGGTTATATTTCAGATTCCCAGTCTACCATGTCTCCGTCTGTCAAAAGAAGGAGAGGAGGTACTAAACGAACTGCATTTTCTGATTCAGATTCAGAGAGTGACGGTGACTTAACAATGGATGACCTGGTAAAACTTGTTGCTGAGAAGGAAGATCTTCTGAAGGAGAAACATGAAGAATTCAAGAAAATGCAAGATAAATTCCTCCGAAGTTACGCAGAGATCGAAAATGTCATGGAGAGGACAAAGCGTGAGGCAGAGAATTCAAAGAAATTTGCCATACAGGTCTTGGTTACTTTTGACAATTTATTTTCCTGTCCTCAGAAACTTGTTATTTGATTCTCTTTTTACCTCTTTCTTGTTGCACAATTGTCTGAAGTCTAACTCTGCGGAGTTTTCATAAATATGTTGCAGAGTTTTGCAAAGAGTTTACTAGATGTTGCAGACAATCTAGGCAGAGCTTCTTCAGTTGTCAAAGAAAGTTTCTCAAAACTTGACGAGTCCAAGGACACTGGTGCAGCATTCCCACTTCTGAAAACACTTCTAGAAGGTGTTGAAATGACTGAGAAACAGCTTTTAGAGGTACACTGTTTTAATCACTAATTATAACCACCCGTTGTAATCCCTCAAAATTTGAGTGGCTTTATAAGTCTGATATAACACTGTTTTAAATGTGTTGGATGTACATTCTGTTTGTCTCATATGTTTTGTGTCAATCAGGCTCATTCTCGCATATTATATTTTCTATTTCAGGTTACATTTCATGTGTAGTTGTGTACTGCTGAATGGTTCTGTTAGCAATAGAGGAAATTAAATACAAAGTTGTAACGTATAATGCATTTTCCCTTCAGGTTTTTAGAAAGTACGGAATAGAAAAGTATGATCCTACAAATGAAGCGTTTGACCCAAACAGGCATAATGCAGTATTCAGTTTACAAGATGCTTCCAAGCCTCCGGGTACTGTTGCTGTGGTTCTCAAGGTATGAAATATATAATCAATTCTTTTGCATTTCTTTTCAAATGAGAAAGAAGTTTCCTACTGCTCGGCATCAGTACTATAAGTTTACAAGTTGGAAGCCTTGGGGTGACACTTTATGTGCTGCGATTGGAACTCCAATGGATATATCTTGACATCTTACAAGTTTGAGATAAAAAAATTTGGAATGGATAAGCATGTCCTGTTTCTCTCTACTAGAGTAAATACTTAATGGGAAAAAATGGCACGAGCTTGATGTTGTTAGAAAACATGCCATATTCAAGATTTACTTGCAGAAAATGGCTTTTGAAGTCACATCTCCGCACATATTTATGCACTGATTTCTTTGATATATGTTTTTGTTTCCAAAAACATTAATTGGCCGTTTTTGCGTTATGTCGTATTTGAGTAATGGAGAAGGATCATTGCAAGGACTTGGATAAATTGTTAGCAGGAATGTGACTAATGCAAGAATCCAAATAATTGCTTGAATCTTTAGATTATATTTTTTTGCTCAACAAAATATGGTTTTCTTTGCAAATATGTGTGTAGAAATTATTTTACGTTTGTTCAAATGACTTATGTAACTGTGGCACTAAGTCCATACATAAATACCCTAATGCGTTATTGTATTGCAGCCGGGATACATGCTTCATGATCGAGTTGTTCGACCAGCTGAAGTTGGTGTAACAACGGATGCGGGGAACAATGCTGACAATTAAATGGCAGCTACCAAAATTTTCCCAAGTTACGTCTTTGCGGTGCACCGGATCACATTACAATATTTTTTGCCTACGTTTGAGAAACTTGAATAGGATTTAATCTTAGTCCTGTGACTTAAGGGTCCATAAACTTATTTTCCAGCCTGACAATTTTTTCTACCCAATCATTTATGTTAGTTTGGTAGTATATTGCTCTTGTTATTATGGACGACACGACCACAAAAGTGCCCTGGGTACGTTTGAGTTTTCGAGAGGTTCAAATTTATTTTTTTCATTTTTTTTCTTTCAAAAAGAGGGATAATTGGTGGTAAATCATGATTATCCATTATATTTGGGGCTATGGAAAGATTCACAGAAACATTAAAGTCTCTCCTGATCACAAGTCTCGCTGACAAAAACTGGACAGAATGTGTCTGGAATTGTTGTACGTCTAGCCTTCATAAAACTTCTTCGTTCCTCGTGTCCTGTCATAAAACCTCTCGAACCGTAGTGGCCAACGGCTATAGGAGAGGAGTTCGATTTTCTCGAACATAACCCAATAAGAATTCATAAAAATAGGCCACGCGCATATCATAAACAGGAGTGGTCACCCATACAGAGAAGTGGCAAACAAGTACACGGCTAATCTTTACAAACAGTCGACTGCTCGAAACGTCATGTGCTTGTTGATCATGTACTACTACTTGCTAACCATATACATAAGGAGAGAACCCACAAACTAAACCTACGGCTTACTTACATACATCACACGCAGTATCATACTAAATAGAAATCACACGGCTTGAAGTAGTCCCTGCTAGTGGATCGCTGCACGCAGCTCTAGTTTTTGTCTTACAAACGCTAAGCGTCAATCCAACCAAAATCTACCTGAACTTGCTTTCTTCATCTGAATCATTGAATCAAGGTTGACATTGTGACCATCTTTCAAGCCCAAATCTAAATCCAGATGGCTTCTGTTTGAATCCTGCACTCCTGATTCGTCCTCGTCCAACTCCTGCACCACGGACAACATCTAATCAATAATTTGTTGCATGGTAAATTACTTAAGATTTTCTCCACTACAGCAAGAGAACCTCAAAATATCCTAACCCCTATTTGCTTGATGTGGGCAAGACGAAAACGTTATCTTCACCTTCACACTGCTTTGCTAGAGTATCATAGTTGATGATGGTGTTGGTTCCTCAAGTAGTTTCATATAAAACCTCGCATGCTTATATAACCCATAAAATTTACTAAAATATAATTAGGACACATACAAATGCAACAGTATAAATGCATTAGATTTTTTTTCATTTCTTGCAGCAGTGAAGGTTACTTAAACACTATAAAGCATCTCGCAGCAGCGAAGATATTGGATTTCTAGCGACGCACAATACAAGGTGGGTCATTCTTAACCCAGAAAATTTAACCAATATTTGTGTTCGTCTCTCTGTGTGTGTGGACACGTACCCATTCAAGAAAGAACAGAATACAAATACTTGCTCCTCCTAGACCAACACCACGGCCATATGTTGCAGACCTTATGTCCATAGCACCAGGTTGTAGCACCATGGCCAGTGACTGGTGGTCGATGTTTTTTTATCTTATAATTTCATTTGCAAAGGAACTTAACTGGGAAAACTAAGTGATTTCATAGAATGACCCACAAATAATACTCATGGACTACAAGAAACTAAGTGACGGCCAATACCACCACCCACATGCTCATTCTGCAACGCTAAAATTAATTTCAACCTCTAGGAAAGGGCACGAGAACACAAAAAGACATCCAACTGAACAAAAAGAAGATAATTGAGCAGGAGTGCAATAAGTCTCACCTCAGCTTGTTCCTTCATAATCTGATTAATATTTGGCTTTCGATGCACCTTATCACTTGGGCTAACCGATTCATCAGTCTCACTAGTTTTCTCCTCATCTCCAACCTTTTTCTGAATTGGCTTTTTCTGTTCCTCTAGCACAGAAACCTGCACAATGAATCAACCATAAGCTATTAACAAAGAGCATTCAATAGCATCAAGCATCTATTGTATGGATTCCGGGAGTCGAGGACTCATATTTCTGAATAATTCTATTCAGGGGATCACACAAGTTAAGCTTTCATGAATGCCCCAAAGCATAACATCAGTCCTAAATTGCAGTACTCGGCAGGATAATATATTCGCAAACAACTAATACCGATAATGTAACTAAATTAAAGCCAGTATACTATTAAGTATAAACTCATACAAGTTCTTGTTTTCACAAAAATAGCAGCTACAATTCCTATCTAGGTCACTCTTTTAGACAATCCAAACTTGGAAACACAGTATACAGATTACAGAACAGTCCATCAAATGCTTCAAAGAAATCCTCCAAAAACTAAAAGATAAAAATAAAAACCCGCAATTTCCATAAATCCTAAAAACCCTAACAACAAATACACAGCAATTGAAACATATAGATGCATATATGCATGTTGGTGGTGTACTTACGGGCGTGTAGCGGAACTTCCGGCGAGGGGGCTCATCCGAAGCCGCGGCGGGTTCGTCGGGGGAGGTAGCGGAAGAGATTGGGGTCCAGCGGCAGAGGAGGAGGCGAGAGCTGCTGTTGTTGGATTGGGAGTGAGGGTTTTGGTAAGTAAGGGAGGGGGATGAAGAGGACACGTGGACCCACCTCTTCTTCCACCTGCGGACGGGGCCGTTGAAGACGGTGGCTGTTTGGCCGTACCTGGAGGACGCCCTGCCCAATCTCGACCCGAGTGCTTCCATTTTCGACCCGCTTTTTGCTTCTTCGGCTTTCAAGAGTGACTGAGCCAGTGTGTGTGACTATTTCAGCTACGAGGTTGAGATATACAGATTTTTCGTTGTTCAAGGCCTCACGACGTCGTTTCTGCGTTCAGTTACAGCGTCTTTGTCAAACACACGCGACACAGTTCCGTTGACGGTTTGCAACCGCATTACTTTCTTCTCTCTCATTGGAAAAATGATAACCACACTTTCTTCTCTTCTCGTTCATCTTTGTTTAATTTTGTCCGTCATTTCTGTTGAATTTATATTTAGGATGAAAATTTAAAGACAAAGTCTAAAGTACGCTGAAAAGTCAAGGACCAATTGTGGGTTTGAGTATGGATCTTATATCATGCCACGTAATTAAATTAATGAAAAGTCTCATAGAATCATCAATAACGTAACGCAATGTTAAAGTTAGAGTTCTTAATTGGCAAATTTTAATTTATAGACTAAATCTAAACTAAATTGAAAAATTAGTCGATTATAAATTTGACTTCTTTTCTCAAATACAACGATATTATTGAACTAAAGAGTAATGATTGAGTTAAGTCACACAATAAGTTTGCCCTAATAATTTAGTATAAAATTTGCCCTCTACAAAAGTCGAATCTACTACTTTTCACTTCTATATATAAAAAAATTACAAATGAAAAAAAATATTATTAAACCGGAATATTAAGTGACAATTCAAATAACTAACGTCATTGTGAGAATTAGGGAATGTGGAGGAACAAATTTGGTTAAAACTTTAGGAGTAATTACATTTTACACCATTGAAATTAAAGATGATTTTCAAAATGCGCTTTGAAGTTTTAATTTTTTTTAGTTTACACCATGAATAGTAAAATTGTATTAATTTAACTTTTTCTAGTTTACACCATAAATAGTAAAATTGTATTAATTTAACTTTTAGTTGGATTGATTGTTAGATCCATTATTAAACTGGTGAGATTGTAAACGTGAAATCCTTATATGGATTAACATGTAAGTCAGATTTTCATTACAGACAAAAAACAAAACAAAAAAACTCATCAAATTAATGAAGGATTAAATATTTAACAGAAAATGTATAAATTCATAAAAGTTTAAAACTTCATGATTTAATATGAGAAAATTGAAAAAAAAAAATGTAGTTAGCACAAATAAATTTAACAAAGACGCGAGAGCAGAATGCAACGGAAAACTTTCTTTGTTTTGTTGGATAATCCCAGTTTTGCCCTCTATCTTTCAAGCTAAAGCTGGGCACCAAGCTAGTGAGCTCAGAACGAAACCAGGAACAATGGAGCTCTGTATGGGCGTCGTCAATGGTGTCTCCATGTCGGTCGTCAGCGTAAACCCATCACCCCCTTCACGCTCTCTTCTTTCCCCAAGAAACCCCATTTCTCTTCATCCCTTCACTTCCCTCCGACCCCCCTCCTCCCTTTCCCGCCAATTCCAACATCTCCAACCGCCACCACTCTCTCGCTCGGCGGTTCCGGCTTCTCCTTCTTCTTCGACGGCTGTCAGCGACGATAAAGATCAGCTTCCGGCGGACATAATTGTCACAGAGACCCGAGAACCCAATTCCAGAGTAAAATCTTCTTAATTGCCAATTTTTCTAATTTTGATTTTAATCTCAATTTTGGTAAATATCATCACTGTCTGTAATCTGTATGCAGGTCAAGTTAAGCATACAAGTACCGCCGGAGGTCTGCGACGATTGCTACAAAAGGGTTATGGCCGAGTTCATGAAGCAAGCCAAGGTTTCTACTTTCTAGTTTTACATTCCTTCTCCATTGTTTTCATTTAGTTTGTCTGGACTTGAAGTTTAATTTATGGATATTTTGGGGGTTTTAATGTGCGCAGGTTCCTGGATTCCGGCCCGGAAAGAAGGTGCCGGAGAGTATTCTTGTGAGTCATGTTGGGAAGAGAAGTGTCAACAAGGCTACTGTTGAATCTATTTTGAGGAGGACCCTTCCACATGCCATGTCTTCGGTACGTTAAAACTGAAATATTGTTTATTTATTACAATTTATCTTCATCGTTGTTGTTAAAACATAGAGTTGCTTAAATTCGTGTACTTGCAAGTTAGTGTTTGGATTTTGCTTATTGGCAATGGCTGCAAAGTTACAATGCTGCAGCATTTTTACAATCACAACCCCCCATAACATATAATAAGAACAGCATTAATTTCTTATGATTTATCATTCTCGAGTTCTCTGTTGTGGCTGATCTGCTTTTATGGTTTAGATGACAGGCACACCTTTAAGAGACTCAGTACGTATTGTAACCAGATTTCCAGAAATGGAGCAGACATATTCTACTCTCAATTCTCTCAGGTTGCTAATTCAGATATCTTTCAAGTTACATTTTTCCACTTGCGTATTTGATATTTCTGTTAATATCCATCTTACAATGCCATAATACTTGCAACTCTCCTCTCACAGTATATTAAGAGGAGAGGCATGTATTGAAGGAAATTTGATCATGTCAACTGATTATGTGCCTCCACGT